AGATGAGTGGACTTCAACTCTGGCTGGGGAATTCTGGGAGTTGAAGTCCACTCATCTTAAAAGTGGCCAAGTTTGGATGACACTGCACTAAGCAGAGGAAGCCTGTTTCAATATGATGGTCTGGACTGTCTCCTGAAAGGTGATCTCTGGGGATTCTCAATAAGAGGAAAAAAAGATCTTGTAATTATTCAAGGTGTCCCTCCTACCAAGTTTTTCTGTGGAAAGAAAAAGGAAAGAAATATTTGGGGAAGACTTTGCATGGTTGCAACGAGAAGTAGCACAATAAAAGCCTTGCCTGGAAGTGCCCCAGATGGAAAGCAAGACAGTGGGATGCCCATTTCACAGATGGGAACCACAGAGACTGAGGGAGCATTAGGCTAGCGGTGACAGAGATGGGCTTTTTTGCCCTGGCCCTTGCTGTTGTATTTGTTCTTGTTGAAATACTGACAGGCAGAAACCCTGGACATCTGTGAGTAGCCTGAGGTCACCTTATGAGTTGTGTCCAAGGTAAGGTTTGGACTCCGGACCCGTCTTGCTCATCTCAGTTTGAAGGTAAAGTCTCCTACAGGTCAAGCTTGAACGTGGCTTCCGCCCGTCTTCTTCTGGGATGTTCCCCCCAACTTCCCATCTGTCCTACGGTTCCTGGTGGTCTCCTAGCCAAGCATCACCCAAGCTTGCTCCGGCTTAGTTTTTGGAGAGCAGCCATGGCTGCTTAGAAACTGCCACCAACCTGGGTCCTGCTCCCAAATAAACCATCCTTTAATTCAGACCCACGAGGACTAGAAATCTCACCTTAAGGGTCAAGCGATGTGATACGACACCCTTTGGTGCCATGGCTGTGAGTTAAGAAGGCAACGCTCCAAGAGGTGAGTTCCGATCTTGGTGACCTTGTGGTCGCATCCATGTGGTTGGTTGCTCGGTTTGTTTGTTTATTAACTTTGTATGCCGCCCATCTCCCCTGGAGGTTTCCTTGGCCACTGTATGGAACAGGTTTGCCTTTTCTGAGACAGTTTTTGGACCTCCTGGTGGTTTCCCATCCACAGACCAATCAGGACTGACTTTTCTCAGCTTTTCAAAAAAGCCAAGTTCGCTCGCTGTTGCCACATTCCTGGGCATATGAGAGTTTCTTTGGAATTAAAGTTGCCAAGTGACAAAGCCATGAACTCGCCTTTAATATTGCCCTGCCTGAAAAGTCGGTTGACAGGGACTGCCTCTGGAAGGCCGGGGGGATGCTCAGTTTCAAGCCAGAGAGGCTTTCAGAGGCTCTTGTGAACTATTTTGGGATGGAATCACACCTCCTCCTAATCTTCCTGGGTCTCTAGGTTCCTGGAGCTGGAGTGGCCCCGCTGGAGCAAGGCCGTCAGGACAGCCGCCTTCGTCTACCCGTTCTTCTTCGACAACGTCCCGCTGTTCTTCAGGGTAGGCTCTGGAGAAGGGGAGAAGGGGATGCCAGATAGGGCTGTGG